ATATTAAGTAACAAGGGATTAAAAAGAGTTAATATTCTTGAGGGACCAAAAATTAGTTTGATCCAGTGTTACTTATACTATGTTTTCCAACACCGACCGTTCTAAATTCATTTCGAAATGAGTATGATTTATATTATAAAAAAAACTATCAAAAAGTAAGGTAGGCTATTTAACAATATGTCATGATCACAAGGGATAAAATTTTTCTTAATTTCACAGGATCACAGGATTAATGAAGGAGTGCAATTAAAATAAGTTAGGTGTCTATTATCTAACCACTTAACGAATAATAAAAACGTTAAAGCTTAGCGCCGTACTTAGCAGTTTGAAATAGTAGTGTGCAAAAAATCGTGCGTTAGGATGCGGCGTCGGCAGAATTTGGAAACGCTGATTCATTCCATTTTATAACATTGGTTTTGCAAACTAATGTAAAACCTAATTTGCAAATTTTTTTTAAATCAACGAATTTTATGTTAGAACTAAATAAGTTAAAAGAAAACTTGCAAGCTCTTAGTTAGCATTAAATTATGGAAATGCCTCTTCGTCTGGAACCGCAAGACTTTGGTCTACTGTGAAACAGCTCATAACCAAATATTCTTTTATTTAATATTAGAATAATTGCCATAAGAATAGAAGATATACCGCAGATTATGTCACGGTAATGTCTTTATGACGTTGAGCGAGAATTAGTACCTAACTCAAAGCCACGGTGAATAGACTCAAAGCTTATGATTATACGATTGCTGGGTTTCTCCAACAAAACTTAAGTAAGGCTTAAGTTATAGCGCCGTGTTATTTGGTCGTGCTTGGTCGAAATGAATCAATTGCTTAGTAACGTTGAACTTAAGTCGAAGTGAAGTAAGAAATAATGTTGGAGAAACCGACCATAAAAACTTGAAATAATGTGTACGTTGAGTTGCCTTTAATCAGGCGGAAAAATTTAAGGTACTGATTCTGTTGTTCATAATACAAACGTAGTCCTTTTCGTATATTCAAATGACAATAGATAGGTATAACAACACGCTATATTGATTTCAACTTCAAAAGTATCGAAATGATAATATTGGCAAAAAACGCCTAATCTCCCATATAACTCCATAGTAAAACCAGCCTACGACTGAAAGGTAGGCAATAAGCATACGCGGTCAGATTTGGACAGCGCTGTAGGCCGGAGTGCCGCCACCGTTATGAATCCACCTTGTATTATACTATTTGAAGTTTTGATAGTTTCACATATCACCGCTTGAGGGCTTTTTCCGACATTGTGATAGAAATGGTTAATTTTCTCAAAAAAATTAAATGCATTGGTTCGATTTTTTGTTCATGAAAAGGTAGCTAAATGATGCCTAAACAAGCTCGCGAAAATAGCATCTCGATATCTTGAGATATATATATATTTTTATCGTGATGGCCAGCATTTCGAGCACTTACGGCGGCATTAAAAGCTTCATTTTTTAAATCGACCCACCTTAGGGAAAAATTAGCTTAAAAAAATAAAATTTTGAGGGTATAAAATTTTCTTTGACCTAAATTTTAGGTTAGGAACAAGATATCGAGATGCTGTTTTCGCGAGCTTGTTTAGGCATCATTTAGCTACCCATTCATGAAAAAAAAATCAAACCAATGCATTTAATTTTTTTGAGAAAATTAACCATATCTGTCGGAATGTCGAAAAAAGCCCTCAAGCGGTGATATGTGAAACTAACAAAACTTCAAATATTATAATATTTGTAGCAGAAGAATAACTCTTTTCAATTAACCCGAATTTGTTAAAATTGGCTTAGTCGTTTCGAAGATACAGGGTGTTCTTTACGGAAACCTTTGAATACCCCCCACCACTTCATTTTTAGAGATACAAGAAAAATTTTCAAACAAAAAAGGTTCAGATTATTGTCAACTTCAAAGACAAATATTTTCCAGGTTTTTCTCGTGGCCGTTTTAGTAATAAATTTATTTACCGCAAGCCTCTACGATGGACAGGTTCCCAGATACAGTACCTCGCATTCTTATTTGGCCACCCTGTACAAAATTGCTCTTCAGAATAGTCTTGAATTAGAAAGAAAAATAGATTATGACTAGGGACCGGACTTATATGCTTGAAAACACGTTAAAAATGCACAAAAAATTATTAAAATTTCCATAATTCAAACTATTTGAACATAAGCTGTATTAAAACAATTAATGAATAAGTATTGTTCCAAACATGGTCCATCTTAAAATTTGTGGGCCTATTACTTAGTACGTGGTACACAGAGAAACATCTTTCCGCATCGACACTAGTAATTGCAGCGTACTTTAGTTGTGGTACCGATCAGATGACACGTGACCTACCACCTACCAGATGACATTTAAATGTTTAACATTTTCCCCAACCAACATTCGTCATCTCATTTGTTGAACTGAAAATTTCCTTGCATTATAAATTAATGCTGAATTGAACACCGCTGACATTTTATAATTTGACAAACTTGGGCGCCTTATTTTTTTTGTATTTCATTTATTTTTTTTTCTATTTTTATTGTTTTCTTTTGTTCTGTTTCTATTTTATAATTTTTATTTTATTTGATTTATTATTTGTTTATCTTTATAATTTATAAATAAAAATATAATTGTTGCAATTACTACCACTGGAAACTTCGTTTTGTAATAAAATGGTTTAAAAAGTTAATGAAATGCTAATCTATCTTAAATATGCACAAAAACACCAAAAATGCAAAATATGCATGATTTTCTTTGCGCCAATGTCAGCCATTTTTGTTAGTTCGTACTATTATTGTTTTATTTTGAGCTGCATACAATATTTACGTAATGCATAAAAGCATGAAATCCAGTCTCTAATTATGACGAAGTGAAAAACAAAGTAAATAGTAAATTGTGGCAAAAATGATGAAATTTCAAATTAATTCTTTAAATTACATTAACAGTACATTGTCTTGATATACCATATTAAATTTCAAGACGAGACAATAAACTTACCTTTTGATAGTTATTTCAAAATAATACCACCTTACCTTGTCAATATTTGGACTGGTACTTTGACTTGAAGCCGTCAAAGGTTCAATAGCCTTAGAAGAGTCCATGCCGACCGTCAGCATTCCCTCCTGATCAGTACGTAGGTGTGTACTTAAAGGTTTCTCCCAAGCGTTTGACATACGTCCGGATGACATACACTGGCCGTCCTTTATTCCGTACACATTAATGTTGTGATTAACCTTATTCATTTCGTTAACGTCGCACACGCCTTGCTGCATGTGCACCTTCTGCATTCGATTCTCGCGCTGTTTTGCGAAGCGCGGCGGTAACTTACGATCGAACATATTTTTATTGGTAGTCTGTGGCACGATAACGGGAGGATTAATGGGCGTATCCATCAACGAAGGTATGTTGGCGATTTGTTGGGCGGTTAAATGCGGCGTCGGTGGTTTTTTCCTATCGGGCAATTTATTATCGCGCTCATTTTTGACGGTCGGTCGGACGTTTGACTTTTCCTCGAAAGGTTTCTGCCGCTGGACGGTTTTCTTATTTTTCACCTCTTGAAAACCGTCAGAATCGGAGATCATAGGACCGTCCTCGTCGGGGCAATCATCTTCAATCGCTTCGGTCTTGACAGATTCGGACTTCTCGTCTTTTTCCTTCTTCACGCCGTACTTGGGCGGTCCACTTATGTTTTGTCTACTTGTATTGTAAGTTGGACGTTTGTCGTTTGCAAATCTGGGTGCGTGATTGGTGCGACGATTTAGATTCGCGGCAGATGACCGCATCGGTGGTGCCGATTTGACACCGAATTTTCTAGATTTTTGACCATCTTCCGAATTATCAGAGGTATCACAGTTATCATTAGAATTGTCGTCACTTTTGGGTTTCTTTGTAGATTTGGATTTCATATCGTCGAGCTTCTTATCTTTGAATGGGACAGTGCCCATTGGAGATTGAGAGCGATTCTGCTTGGTCTTTTCGTCTGAACTGGTGTTACTAATAGCACCATCTTCATTATTTATCTTCTTTTCCTTATCATCTACTTGACTGAATGGGCTTTTAGAGGGAGGTGGGCCATACCCATCGATTCGTTTACCTGTAATGGTAAAATAAATTGAGCATACAACAGTAAATGAGCTTTTTGAGCGTAAAATAATGCTAACCATGTTAAAACTTGCTATAGTGTTTCCAAAGATAGTTATATATTTGAAATTATAAATGTAGATAGTTTTCATAATCTACCAAGTAACATCACAGTCCATCTATTTGTACTATTAAAAATATTGTTATATTAAATAGTCCAGGCCCCAGAGGGTTTGACCTTGCAAATTTCTGAGACAAAGAATCATGATCCAGGGTGTATGATTCTTGGGTCGCTGAATCCAAATTTGACATTTGCACAAAAATTCGGATGACGCGGGAGCCGCCATCTTGGAAAAAACAAAACGCGAAATAACTCATTTGGTATCGGTCTTTTGGCGAAGAAACATCAGTAATAAATTCAAGTACATAAAATCTCCTTTCCTTTGGAATGAGCCCTTGTTGATGAAAATCGGATAAAAATTAACGCCACCACAGTGCGATGAAATTTGGCCCAAAAATGACGTTTCGTAATTTTCAAAATTTCGCGCGAAAAAAACGGAATTGACGTCATTCACGAGCAGTAAGCTTGTACCGTTACCGGTAGTTTTAATATTGGCCTGATGATTGCTTGTTAGCCAAAACATGTCGCCTTAGCCTTATTTTTCAACATCAAATTTTTTGAATAAATTGAATTTTATGGGGAAGGTTTTGATTTCTTAAACGTGGATTATTTCTTAGGTATGATCTTGATACTCACTTCACCGTGAATGCGTTAATTTCGGCGAAAGAAGTAGGTTCGGGCGATTAAAGTGGAGGACTGCAAAATTCAGCAAATTTTCGATTTTATTTTAATTTTAAGACGATGTTGCGATGTCAAGTTTCGTCCGATTTAAACAAACTTGGGCTCATTTTAAAGGTGGATGTTCTTCAAAAGCTCCTCACGTTCGGAGAGGTTACTGCTCGTGAATGACGTCAGTTCCGTTTTTTTTTGCGCGCGAAATATTGAAAATTGCGAAAACTTCATTTTTGGGTCGAATTTCGTTGCACTGTAGTGGCGTTAGTTTTTATCCGATTTTTATCAACAAGGGCTCTTCTCAAAGAAAATTTTATGTACTTTAATTTATTACTGAAGATTTTTCGCCAAAAAACCGATACCAAATGTGTATATTTTTTTGATAAATTCAAAACACAAAATACATGGAAAAAATATAAATCTACTTACAATTCAGTCGGTGCTGGGCGCCCAATTACAATGCATGGGGGGGGGGGATAAGGAGATCAAGGGTTACAATAAGGAAGGGTTAAATTCGTCCAGCACTACCGAGTATACAAAAAAAATGGATTGATTTTCAAACTTGGAAAAGTACAGGGTGGAGCGCGGGAGACAGATGGAATTGGTAGAGGCGCCGTGCGTGGCGCATGCGCAACAGGGGTCTGGGAGGGGGTTTGGTTTATCTGAAAGAGGGGAATGGGAAGTTTATGTTTTGTAGCTAATCAGTCGCAACAATGTTTTGGTCAGTGGAACATCGTACGTTTTGTGTCAAAGCCTATTTTGAGAATGGCCGCTCGATCGTACGCGTGCAACGTGCCTTCCGTTTGAGGTTTAATATCGCCCCCCCGTGGCCGAATTCCCGACCGAAATCGCATTCTTTCGTGGGTGAATGCATTCGAAACGAGTGGTAATGTGTCAACGATCAGAAGGGGGCCTCAGAACTCCGTCATTACCCCAGAAAACGTTGAAAGAGTTCGAGTCGCCATTCAACAATCTCCAAGGCGGTCAATTCGGAAACAGTCACAAGTCCTTGGCATTTCGAGACGATCTATGCATCGAATAATCAAAGAACACCTGCATATGCATCCCTACAAAATGGTAGTCGTTCAGGAATTGAAACCACGTGATTACGAAGCCAGACAAATCGCGAGTGAAAATATCCTTGCAGCACTGCCTCGAGACGCTGTTGTGTTCTTCTCTGACGAGGCACATTTCCATCTTAGCAGTTGTGTCAACAAGCAAAACATGCGCTATTGGAGCGAGACAAACCCCAGGGAACTCCATCAGAGGCCTCTTCACTCCGATAGGGTAACCGTATGGTGTGCACTTTCGAAAAATGGGATCATCGGACCTTATTTTTTTGAGGAAAATGACAGAGCCGTTTCCGTCAACTCGGCGCGTTATTTGACTATGATTCAGGAGTTTTTCTTGCATGCATTAGATGAAATTGGTGTGGATGAGGACGTCTGGTTCCAACAAGATGGGGCCACCGCCCACACAGCAAGAAGAGTGATGGAGTTTTTGAGAGGGAGGTTCCCCGGGCACCTCATCTCCCTGAGAGGCGATTTGGACTGGCCAGCGCGGTCGCCAGATTTGGCCCCTTGCGACTTTTTCCTTTGGGGCTAGCTCAAATCCAAGGTTTACAATGATCGTCCCAGGACCATAGAAGACCTCAAGAACAACATCAGGGCCAACATCGCTGAAATTCCTGTTGAAATGCTCGGAAGAGTTCACGAAAACGTCTTGATCAGTGTATTCAGAGTGAGGGTGCCCATATGCCAGATACGCTGTTCAAAACCAAATAAATCTAAATTTCCAATGCTTACACATGAGGTAAAAATAAAAAGTTTGAGAATTTTTCATGAATTAGTAATGTTTTTTCATTTTATAATCCATCTGTCTCTCGCGCTCCACCCTGTATATTACTTCAAAACAAACACGATTCGATGCAGCTTTTCGATTGTGGGAAATTTTTCTCTTTTTCCCCACTCTTCGCATTCAAATTGTATTAACATTAATAAAGCCACACTTACTCCATCTAGTTTATATCTTAGTAATATAAAATATAATAATACGGCGTTAACAAAATGAGTTATTTCGGGTTTTGTGGAAAAACCGCCGGTTTTCCGCCATTTTTCCAAGATGGCGGCTCCCGCGTCACGCGGATTTTTGTGCAAATGTCAAATTCGGATTCAGCGATCCAAAAAACATAAACCTTGCATCTTGGTTCTTTGTCTCAGAAATTTGCAAGGTGGACCCCTGTTTTGAGCTCTAGGGCCTGGACTATAAAGAGCAATTATTTTTGTTATATATTTTTTTGGTTAACATTTGATATTTTTAATTATTGTTAGATAGTATGTATTGTTGACTATTTCTTTAAAGCCATCATGTCCTTAGATCTGCATTATATTTCTGTATAATTACACAGTAGAACCCTAATAATTAAAAAAAAAATTTATTTAATACATATGAACATATTGTATACATATCAGGTCATACATACAGTGTGTCCCAGATCGGATGGGATTACATGGGTAACTTTTCATATTATTAAAGATAGAGAAGTGGTTAAATGGACAATGTTTTGTAGTTTTAGATGCTTATTTAAAATTTCTCTGTGAAAATTAAAATGTCGAATAGGTTCGACATAAATTCAAAAAAACTAAAATTGGTCATTTCCTTTAATGTCTTATATCATCGAAAGTATAAGCGATATAAAATGTCATATAAAAGTTATCATTTTCATTGTTTTGTTGCCTAGAATAATTTTTGTTGTTTTTTTAAATTCATCACGGCCTACTTGATTAAAATATAAAAACTGTTGATATAACTGGTACCTTATTTTCAATCTTATGCTATGATAGCTCGTTGAAAAGAGAATTAAAAATCTATCAAATAATCTAAGAATCCAATATGGGGCCTATTTAACTTTAGAAAGTAAATGTTTCTCAAAAGGAGCCATCTTTAATTTTTTTTAACATCAATTCTAAATGGTGAGTATCAAAGAGAGTAACTTTTATATAAAACTTTTTTTATATCTCTTATACTTTCGATGATAAGACATTTAAGGAAATGACCAATTTTTTTTTTTTTAATTCATGTCAAACCTATTAAAGTTTTTGAATTTCCACAAAGAAATTTTAAATAAGCATTAAATAAGCAATAAACACACTGTATATGCCATTTATTAGAAAAATGAAATTTTGGACGTTCAAGTTGGTTATGCCAATTTGAGACTACACATTCAGTCAAAGGCGCATGTACAGGGTGTCCCTTTAATATAGATCACAGGCCATATCTATGGAACCGTTAATTGCACAACTTCGGGGAAAAAATTTGCCAAGAGAAATCGCTGGAAATTATTTCCAAGTTTCTAGATTTGCCGCTAGAGGGCGTACGATTCAGTTAGGTAGAAATGACGTTTTCCTAAAATATACCCAACAAACATGCATAAAAAATACATGCTTTGCAATCTTGTATCAATTTTGCATCATTTTGATGACAGTTGATTATGGCTGTAAACCAAATTTCTATTTCACTGGCATGTTTAAAAACTTCTAACGAAAGGGCTATGTGAATCACCCTGTATAGTATAAATATCATTTACACATAAAGTAAATGGCGGTCCATCGTCACCCCATACATAAGTACAACCATTTTTTAAAAAAACCAAAAACTGCCCCTCTTCACCCCACTTGACAATAGTTATGCAATTATAGGCAGTTTGTTTACTTACCTAACCCGCCACGACTGCGAAAATTGCCCCCACCACGACCATGCTTCGACGGTTCTCCACGAGGGACATAATTGTCACGCCGATTAAAGTCGTATTTGCGATCTGAATTTAATACTTTCTCTTGCTTCATTTCCTTATTCTTCTCCTCTTTATCGCCTTTTTTGAATGACGATCGAGAACGATCATCCTTCCCGCTCTCTGTCGAAACTGATACGTCTTCCACAGATACATCCGAATCGGTTCCGTGCCATTCACCACCAGGTTTATTAGAGGGAATGCGTTTGGGTGCTCCATTTCGGGACCCCCTACGCGAATCGCTTTTCTTCGACCAAGTGCTTCTGTGATAAACACAACTGCTACTGGCCCACGGTTGATGATGTCGTAAGTCTCCACGGCGTTGATTAGGATTGACGTTTCTCTTGTCATCCTTTTCATTATCCATTTTCTGAGTCAAATCTTCAACATTCTCTTCTTCTTTCTTTACTTCCGATTTTTCATCAGCAATCTCCTTCAGAACTTCGGAGGAGTTAGGAGTGGGTTCGGCCCAAACACTATTTACAACACTTTCGCCTTTTTTAGCAGATTCATTAACCTTGACCTCCTCCCAATCGTCATCCTTCTCAATAACTTTCTCTTTCTTGCATTCCACAATCCGTTTCTCTTGTTGCGCGTAGCCTCTTTTTAACTGTGTCAAATTTTTCTTTTCGGGTTTTAAATCTTCCGCCGCCTCGATTCTTTCCTTGGTTATCGGTCCGGGAACCGCACGGCGATCATCCCGGAATTGTTCCTTACGTCTGTCATCGAACACCGGTTCGAAAGGGGTATCCGCCCAAGAACCGTGAAAATCGCGCGGTTCGGATTCACGAGAATGTCGCGATTCTCTGGAGGCCCGCGAATCTCTACTATCCGGCCGCTGGGGTCTCTCAAATCGATTGTCCTCGCTACTTTGTCGACTAATGCTGTGATCATCTTGTTTCGGAACTTCTTTCCTGTAGTCAAATTCACGCTCCTCGTCAATTTTGTGGGAGGCGTCGTTAAAGGAACGAAAACGATAACTATCCTCGTTCGACATCTTCCGTGTGTCTCGACGATCATCCTCCTCCTTATCGTCGTCCTCTCTCGATTTACGCGGTTTATTAAATTGATTTTGCCACGGCATTTCGTACTGGTCCATAAAAGCGGACTGAACCGGCTGAGGACTCGGACTGACGTTATTTCTCATCTGTTGTTGCCTTTGGAATCTCGGAGGTAAATTCGATTGAAATTGCTTCGAGAAGCTCGGAGCATCTCGGGGATCACTGCTGCGCGTTTCCTTTCTGACAAAGTTACGGCCCTCAATTTGGGTGAGTTTACGAAATTCTGTATTTTCGCGAAATTGTTTATTATTTTCGACGGGGGTACGGGGTTGTTCCTTTTCTTTCTCCCAGTCCGGGACAGGAATAGGCACTGGGTTAATGGGCTGTGGAGGTACAACCGACGGACTAATTGTGCCCTGTGTATCGTCAACTTCTTTATCATGCTTATTTTTGCTTTTTTCGTCTAGTTGCTGTAGTTTTTTAGCGGCCGCTTGCTTTATTTCCAAGAATCGTTTTTCTTCTTCTTCTTTTCTTTGCTTTGCACGTTCAATGACTATGGCCACTTCTTCAGATTGTTGCCGCCGGCGTTGGACCCACACCTCTTCTTCCTCACTGGAGCGATTACGATTTTGTTGTTGTTGCGGTGGAGCGCTGGTCGCTGGTTGGTTTTTCGGCGCACTCCAATTCTTCACATTTGGTTCTTGAACACTGCTTTCAGTCTTATCATGTTCTTTGTGTGTAGGCTGTTTGTGAATTTTGTCCGTGTCTTGTTCGTCATCGCTAAATGCTAATGTTTGACTGAAATAATTCGAGAGTTAGGCAAACGTTTATACAAAATTTATAATTACTTATAATCAATATCATCGTGGGATGCCCAACCCACATCTCGTATCATGTCATCCATTCTATTTAAATCTTCTTCTTTTATAATTGGTCTATGACAGACTTCGTCACCTTCGTTTGTGCGTGCTGCTCCACGATTGTCTGTCATACGATTACGACCATTGCTTGCCGCCGTTCCAGGGGCATTTGAAAAATTTGAACCACCATGTCCATTTGCTGGGAAGTTATTACCTCTGAACATCTGAAAATGTAAATAGACATGAGCTTTCTTTTATGTAAAATGGTTTTTTGAAAAATCAAATTAGGAAAAAACAATCATGTCTATTTTTATGTTTATAGAATGGACCAAGGCAATAAAATTAGTTTATATAAAATAAATACAAGCAAACAGGGTGTAAATAAGTACTCTCCAATTTATTTACTGTCGGCCACATCCAAAATTACGTGAGAAAACCTGAAAACAAAGCGAACTCTGCGTTCTTCCTCGCAATAGTTTCGGATTTTAACAAAGATGACCTTTTCACTATTTGAAATTTTATAGAAAATTGATGGACACAAAGGCAAATAAAAATTAAGATTTTGAAACAGAGAATTTACTGATTTCTCTTGTATTTTTTCCTACCTAGCTCAAGCTACATAGCTATTGAGATAACAGTTTTTTGAAAAAGTTAAATTTCATCCAATGTTGACGTTTTAAATCATTTTAAGCAAATTTTAAAGACAAAAACTTTTTTCTGTCTGTATGTACAGGGTGATCCAAAATGGGAACTTTCTTATGGAAACACCCTTTATTTTAAGAGATAGGAAAAAATGGACCTAGGTATCTGGGACCCGATTTTAAAGAGAAAATCGCTGGCGCAAACAGAATTCAGCAATTTAGTCGATTTCCTTAATGCCCAATTACTTTCTTATTATTAAAGATAATTGATTAGAGCACTTTTATATGTAAAATCCATTGCAATACACAGTTTTTTTACAGGGTGTTTGGTTTTTGTTATACTACCCTAAACCTAAACTATATTTTTTCATATGGACCACCCTATATATTTGGAAACTGCAATAAAAATATTTTAATCTATAAACTGCAACATTGCAAATAAGGTTTAATCTTCGAGCATTAAAACCTGGACTGCTAGCGTCGTATAATATCCTAATATAAAACTTGACGCCAACATCTACAGCGCCATCACTGGGTATGACTAAAATGAGAACTAAATCTGAGGCGCTAAATATGAAATTTGCAAGTAATAAATTTGAAGTATGTAGAAATAATTTTTGGATAATGATAGGTACCAATAGATAGTGGAATAAGCTTTTATTTAAAAAATGTACATGTTTATTGCAGCGTCTAACCGATCTCCAGGATAACGTGTATAAAATTACGGTGAGGGTGTTACACAACGATTAAGATTATATTTTGATGGCCAGCGAAAGTGTTTACATTTTCATCTACTGTCATTTCTACAACTTGTTCTTGGTCGGAGAAACTATTGACATTTTCATTGATGTATTTGGGAAAATTGAAGGGACCGAATTAGCTTTTTACTTACGCGAAAAACGTTTCTGTTTTAACGTCCTTGTTTTTAAGGTTATAAACTGCATCACAATTTTTTACAAAACAACTTCAGCGCCTTATTTTTAATTAATTATGTAAATGTTGCACCACTAACACAAATTTACATAAAATCACTATAAAACACTTAAAATTAAATCTCGTAACATTGACGTGTGTCAAATTTCGTTTCACAAAACACACACCGCCTTGTGATGGCACTGTAGATGTTGGCTTCATAAATTTGACTGTGCTAGCAATCCAGTTATTTTTTCATCCAAGGGTTTAATATAAATATACCAAGTGATGCATCAAAATTTAAGAAATTTTATGCTTTTTTCAAAAACTCCAAAATATAAAAGCTGATTCAAATTCGTAGGCAAAGTGGCGTATTTTGATGCTTAACAAAATGCCGTTTTGAAACTGAAAAAATTCCGACTACTTTCGGTTGAAAAACACAACATTTTGCAAATCGTTTTTATTTTTTACCGAAGTTATTTAAAAAGATATTTCAAAATAAATGATACATTATGACCACTTTTTTCCCTCTACAAGTTTTAAATTTTAAGTGTGACGTTTCATCTCAGGTTAACCATCATCAACTATGTTTTTTTCTTATGGAAGACATTTTACTTTTTGTGTCGTTTGATAGATCATTTCTGATTCTAGGACTCTAGGACCATTCTCTTCTAGAAGTAGTTCAAAACGGCAGCAGTGGGTCCGGACGGACGGACAAAATGCAAATAATAATACTTTTTTTTTAATCTTAAAAAAACGCGCTAAAAAATAAGGTCCGTAAACTGGGCCCCCACCCTTCCTTAGAGATTTGATAGTCGTATTGTTATATAGTAATGGACTCACATGCGCCACCGATAATCACTCTTGCAGTTTTTAGAAATCTAAAATTACATTTGGGAGGGACCAAATATACGTACCCCCACTCCACTTAAATGTCCGACGTCTCTATCTTTACAATAAAGACAAAGATGACGTTAGATATATAATGGACATGTGACAAACCCCCAAACGTCATACGTATCTATACTAAATTGTACTCTAAGTATACGCTAAAATCCGCCGTAAAAATCTGTGTCTGCTCATGTCCTCATTTATTATTTTTCAATTCGGGAAATCAGAAAAAATTAAATTAGAATTTAATATTTGCGTAAAAATCTTATACAAGGTATGGAAAAATGGTGGCGCTCGAGTCCGTCCGTCCATTTGTTTGTTCTGCCGACTGCTGCTACGTTCGTCCGCTCCCAGGATTTAATTATTATAATTTGTATATTTATTTATTTATTTTAAATGAAATGGTAATTATTATTTCGCTAATACTTATTTAATTTTAAAGCTCACTGAGGGTGCGCGAACTACTCCAAGTTCATCGCAACACAAAATTCTAAAAATTCAGATTCGCTCAAAAATTCGAAAATAAGAATCAAAATCAAAAACTAAAACATTCACGAAAATTCTTACAATTTGATACTTGAGTAATTTTAATTTTATCCCTCTCTTGTTTTGGGCCCTCAACAGGCATGCGCCCAATTACAGAGTGACCCGCATAATGCTATTTAGAGGTGCCTCTGCAGAAGGTCTTAAGTTGGTCTATACTACTCCGGTATTTACCTTACGAATTAGGAAAACTGCAGGAAAACCTAATTCGGAGTAGGCGGTAGAATGCTCGGAACTGGTCTAAGGTAATTTCCATCTCTCCGCCACAGATGAAAAATTTACCTCAACCCAGGTTCGAACACCCGACCTTCGGATTCATAACCCAATGCTCAATGTGCGAATATTCACTCTTAATAATGCGAATATTCCCGAATATTTCCGGAAATATTCGCTTGGAATTTATGATTCAGCCCCAAAGGCGCAATTTTTACTCCAACTAACCGACTTTCTTATTGTTTCCGAGATCCCAATAGTTATTCTCGAATTTGGGACAACCTGTAATGAGGATGACAAGACCTTAGGTCCAGTTGCAAAAAAAAATTGTATTATTTTTGATCCGAATTTTAAGGCATTTGATTGGCTCCATTGCGAATGTGTTTATACCCTAATTAAATAAATAAATACAATAAATGTTTCTTAGAACTAGGATCAAGGTTATATCCAAATCAAATATGTTTGTGCAACTAGTCCTAGCAAGTCCTACCATTTCAAAATAAATATCTATCCAATCCAGGGTTGCATTTTTAGCGCATTTTTGAAAAAAATACGCTATTATATTCGTTATTGCTGGCAGGCCGGCTGTCCGCGTTAGATCTCCACAACTACAATAGCTAGAGACTTCAAATTTTCACTAAAAGCTTCCTGCTATAGTGTAGATGTGCAGGCACTAGTCTATTTTGAATTACATTACTTGTGAGATAGATAATTGAAGAAAATAATTTCGATATAGGTTTCGGAGGTGCTATAATTTTACCGTTAGATAGCGCTACCAGTATAAAAACTTATTATTTACTTTGTGATTTGTTTTACAAAATGAAGACGTACCGTCAATTGAAATTAAATAAAATTAATTATTTAACGCAGCCAAAATTACTCCTGAGATCGATAATTTTAAACTTCGCTAATAAAATACTGACCTGCATTACCAAAAATGCGCTTTAATCATGCATATGCTGATTTACAACTTGTTTATTTTCAAAGAGGAATTTTTAATATATACAGTGTGTCCCAGATCAGGTGGGATTGCATGGGTAACTTTCTTTTTATTAAAGATAGAGAATTGGTTAAATGGACAATGTTTTGCAGTTTTAGATGCTTATTTAAAATTTCCTTTTGGAAATTCAAAATGTCGAATAGGTTCGACGTAAATTCAAAAAAACTAAAATTGGTCAATTCCTTTAATGTCTTATATCATCGAAAGTACAAAAAAAAGTTTTATATAAAAGCTACTGTCTTTAATACACCTAATTTAGAATTGATGTCAAAACAAAATTCAAGATGGCTACTTTTGAGGAACATTTACCAACTTCCTAAAGTTAAATAGGCGCCATATTGGATTTTTCGATTATTTGATAGATTTTTTAATTCGCTTTTCAACGAGCTATCATAGCATAAGCTTGAAAATACGATACCAGTTATATCAACGGTTTTTATATTTTAATCAAGTAGGCTTTGGTGAATTTAAAAAAAAAAAAAACAAAATCTATTCGGGGCAACAAAACGATGAAAATAATTACATCACATGTTTAAAATACTGGCCATTATTAGTGAAACACACTTCAAGACAGGTTACTTTAGGCAACGTGTTGCCATTGATACTATAACACGCCTTTAGAACGGCTATATAAATAAGAAAGGGCACATCCAAAAACCTAGATCGGTCGTCATTTATAAAGCGCAATTTCTTGAGCAGATAAAAAAATTTTTAACCCTGTCTCCTGGTCAAGAAAAATTCTCAAAATTTATTGAGAATTGAGCAAATGCATTTGGATGTTCTCCCAATCAAACTCGCAATCAAATAAGAATTTTTGACACTTTTTAAACAAAACTTTTCCAAAATTCTTCTTGGTTGGGGTTTCACAACTATAAACTGAAAACTACAGTAGTAAGAAAAGAGTGTAGGAAAAGAGGACTCTGTGGCTTAGCGCCCGAAACTTAAAAAAAAATAAGTGTAAAGATTAAAATTCTCTCGCAATTTACGAGGTTTTGCATATAAAATTGATTTTCTTAACACATGGTGTCCTTCTCTCTGCGGAACCCGCTACAACTTATTCGATAATTCAACCTTTGTAATATTTAAAATATATATTAATTCACTTCTATTATTCTACTCTACCTACATGCCATATGGGATAACTGTGTACCCCCAAAAAGTTCAATCTTTCAATAGTTACCCCTATAAAATTCCCCTCTCGTGAAAATTCAGTGTAGTTCATTCGCCGCAACCAAATTTGTCTTTAATAAAACCCTCCCTAAACAGTTACTTCAAAAAAATTCTTTCTCAGAGACCAGGACCAGGAACGTAAATCTTTGAATGGAATCCCTAGAGGGACAGGAGAATTATTTTACGTGAGAGTTTTCCAGCAAACAACTGTAACATTTTAGTTGTGTTCTAATAGTATGTACTCAATAATACCATAGAAATCCTAACAAACTGTTACCTCTTACACCAATAGTCACCACCATTAAATTTATTGGCATAATGGCAGGGTAATATCCAAAATATTACACTTTCTAATCGGTATGCTTTGTTGCGGTACCTACTTACAAAACTTCAAAAAACAAAAGAATAAATACATTTTTCTGATTCCGTTACAAAGACAGCAGCTGAAATGACCGAGCAGCAAACTGTGAAATTCTACACCCTTAAAATTTCTCCCATTGACCACATTCGAATGTAATGTTTTAAAATACTTACAAAAGGAGGAATGAGTCCCCGAAATTGTGGAGGTAACGGCTGCTGTGGAGGTTGGTTCTGGCCGACCGGGACCGAAAGCTGTGGTGGGGGACCGAGCGGTGCCGAGTTGCTTCTTGGTGGAGGTTCGATGCCTGGTCGCGAACCACCCTGTATCCAGGAACCTTCCGTTTGCGGCCGCAGGCTTGGGCCCGGGCCATACTGTGTGTCGACGCCAGTACGTGGAAGGGCGCCATCGCCAGCGGACAGGCTGGGGAATTCGTGCTGAAACTGTGGGCTCTGATAGGGTGGTGGTTGTAGAAGGTCGGCGCCGCTCATAACTGAACTCCATGATTTGTCGGATGTGACAGGTGTTGCAGAAGGGGTGATGTGCGTCTTGTTTGAAGAGGGAACTGAGTTTGTTACTGGTAATGCGTTTACAGGTGGTGCATTTTGTTGCACGAGGGGAGGTGAAGTTGTCACAGTTGCAGTTGGAACCTATAAACTTGTCATCAAAAAAATAATCGTGTAATGCCACTTACTGATGGAACGTTCGTCGAGGGAGAATTTTGGTCCTGTTTTCCCCATCCTACTCCACCCGAAGGTACTAGAGAAACGGCTGCGTCACTACCGGTATGTTCTGATTTTATGGAAGGAAGGTTTGCTGGAGGTCTACGAGCTGTGGGAACTTTACCCAAACTTTGCATGCCATGTTTACGAGGGATTGTATTTTTTTGTTGCTGTGTTTCTAAAGATTCTCCCTACAAATGCAGGTCGGTGACCTATTTTTCACCAAACTATAATAATTGCGCACTCACTGTATAAACTTTATATAAATGATTGATATCCAACGACTGAAACTTCGATTTTCCTTTCTCCCCTTTGGAGGCCAGGCCTGGCAAAGTAGACATGCTGTCTGCACGCAACCATTTAGATCTGCAGGACCCAGCGAACGAACCTTATGTCTAAAATAAAGGAAAACAATTGCAATTACGCGAAACAATTGACTACAGCTGAAGCAAGCTCATATTTGCAAAACAACAAAATCTGTTTAACTCTTTGTGCATCAATTAAACGAAGCAAATTTCGACTGTTTCTTATTTTAACCGAACAAAATATTGAATAAACTGGATATTTCTACAATAGCGGTTTACAATAGCTCTACGTAAGCGTAAAACATTGAACTTGCCCATCCCCAACTACTGCCAAAAGTGAATGTAAATGATGACGTTTCACGGGGTAAAATATTTTTTATTTTAACGTTTATTAAAGATTAGTCACAAACTATGCGAAGTGTTTCACAGAAAAACTAACACAACAAAAATTTGACACAATAGAACTGCGAATTGACCAAAACAGAGAATTACGAAATTGTTGAGTTCGTCGTTTTTTATGTAGAAATTTTTAGTTTACCTTGGTCCGTCCAAATGGGTATAAGGTAAATAAGAGGAAATTAATCCGTATTATATTAAATAAGGACGGATGATCACAGATTTAGATTATTTTGCAACTTTCTTTAATATTTTTCACTTAAGTCAAAATGGCGTACGCCGACTACTACAGCAAATTTTAATCAATAACTGACGTCATCAACATTAGATCAGCCAGTCGCCATCTATGAGTCATAAACTCTACCACCACTCTAATCCTTTGTGGAAAAATAATTCTAATGATTAAAAAAATGGCAATTTTTTCTCCCTTTATTTACCATGAATTGTCGTATGTAAAGTAAATGTCTTTAAGTCACTAATATAAATTTCGAACGAAAATTGAAAACGAAATCTGTACTAATACAGGGTGTTACGTTCGTAGAGTATACACTGGTTTAAAGAGGGGGAGACAATTTCACAACAGGTCATCTCTGCCTGAAAGAGGGTGCCATGTTGAACCAAGGGAGAAGCTGATATCAGCTCTTGGTCGATCACCGTGCCCGTTCTCCTATCCATTAGGAAGTTAGGGACCCATCTGTTAACCACACGAGCCCCCTCGGGTTTGAGGAATGGGCAATCTGAGTTCAGCCACTGCTCCTTCTCCGGGAGCAGTGTTTAGCCGTATGCAGTACCGTCCCGTCGAGGTCATGAAAGGACAGTGGTTGACCGGGCCGGGACAATGCAGGGCCGGGAAACACATACGAAATGTTGGATTGTATATACATCAATGAAATAGAATCTAGTTTCCCCAATATTTAGATTGCATTAAGAATTTTTCTCACATTGCCAGTCACTGTTGCGAGCAATGAAAGGGCATTCTCTAAGCTCAAATTAATTAAAAATTACCTAAGGTCCTCAATGGGACAAGGAAGTTTAACCAACCTTGGGATCCTTTCGATTGAGCGACATGTGGCAGAAACCGTTGATTTTACTGAAGTAATTAAGGAATTTTCTGCACAAAAAGTAAGAAAATTAGATTGGTATGATTTAGGTTGTGTAATATATTTATGATAGGTTAAGTGCCATGTCAAATTCATTGTTGTAGAATGTAGACTTTTAGTGGACTAATAAAAGAATATATTTTTTTTGTAAATATGAGTATGAGTATTTTCAATTTTTTGGGCCGGGTATTATGATTGCATGACCAGGCCGGGACGTTCTACAGAACGGCACTGGCCGTATGGAAGCCTTCTGCCTCTCCAGCTAAAAGTTCATGGCTCCAGTGACTCCCAGATATGCGAGTCATTTCTGCTACCCACATTTTTTGGGTCCTTAGAGTTTCAGAAAGCTTTCCTATACAAATTGTAAAGCGTTTGCACGTTTTTTTGAAAGTGTGTAAAAAGCCGTGGGAAAGAATCTTGACAGTTTTACCAGGCGCCTACTTTTTTTGGAGGTCGAGTTTATTGCTTTGGAAAGCATTTGAAGGACTTTGAAAAACAACAAAAGCTTTGGAGTCTTCTGATTTACAGATTCATTTCAAGGCCTTTTATCACCAGAGCATGCTGGCGTTCCTCTATGATTATATTCAGTTGCACTAATTTGTTCATACTCTTTTGGGAGCTTTATATAACTGTGCTCTTGCAAGAGCGCTGGAGATCCTTTCTAGGAGTGCTTGATCTTCTATTAAGAAACAAGGTAAACATTCTTATGTATTTGACTTATTAGGGTCCTTCGTCAAATTGATCCACCTCTGAGCACATTTCCTACAAAGATTTTCAAGCAAACTTGGTTTGGCTTAGGTAATTATTTAACTTAAAATAGGAATTACTTCTATTACTTTGATACAATACGAAAACATTTTAACAATTTTATATTTTGATGGATCTTACGTTCGATGCTTTACAATTTAATAAAACACATAATATAAAATGTACTTGCCCTTTAAAATTTATTTAGTGATGATTTTAGACTAAAATGGAAAAAAATTCGTGTGTAAATTTTATTCACTGGTATATCTAAAATAATCTATCATAATTTATATACAGTTAAAACAATCCAACAAAATTGTCATTACTTTTAAAAATTATCAATACATGATCCAATGAAGTTTTTGTAATAAAATTTGGTACAATAAATAAAGAATATATAGATGAAATATACAGTACTAATTACTTACAAACTATTATTTACAAAATTCTCTTAATCGCTATGAGGATAGTACAATTAAGTGTGAAAGATTTGCACTTTTGTGGTTAATTAAAATGTAAATCAATTTATTGTTAAAAAGAGCGAAAAAAAACAATTTTGAGACTTATTTTAAAATCACCCCTGAACCGAAGTGTGGCCAAACTAAGTGTGCTGCGGAAGTAATTGACCGAGATCTGACAGGTCACTATTCGAAATTTGTTTATCAGATTCTTCTAAATACTTCAGAACTTTTTCCGTTGCTTTAATAGCGCAAACACTCGATGCACCAGCCTGCAATAAACGTAATTAACAAACCAGAAATTATGTAGCAGCTAATTACCGATGCCGTTAAATTCATGAAACTAAAAAATTTTTTCAACATTTCAACCATTATAGAGAAATTATGCCCTTTGAGAAACCCTCTAACTATATGCAGAAATTCGTCATTATTCATAATTAAAAATCCAAGTAACATAACAATATACGATGCTAAAAACGTGTACTCCATATGCGTGCCCGCCTTCTGTAATACTAAAAATACGTTTAACCAAAATGCTCAGTTCATGAATCTTAACTTACATTTAGCAACGGTTTCTTCAATAAACTCTTCATTAGATTTATACTGTACACTTTCATTATCTTCTTTCTCTCCATCTAAAATTGCGTCAGTTCGCTTCTCTGCGAATCTAGCGGATTCTTCCCACGAATAAAACTGTTCAATTAACGCTTCTAATGCACTTTTATCACCTGAAGAAAGACAGTGCACAAGTTAAAATTGTTTCTAAAATTAATGTTCAATTTTTTAAGTGAACGAATAACTACAGTCAGTTCAAAATTTAGAAATTTGTGTCCATGTTGCCAAATCTAATTTTCCATGAGAATTTAAAAATGGCCAGTGCGTTTTGTTTCATGTATTCATAACCTTGGTATAATACTTACAAGCAAAGGCACTTTCAAAATCAGCAGGGGCCTTTGCATCAATTAATAACTTTTTATTAGCGTTATTTTCCTGTATCAAATTAATCAATAACATTAAAACCTAGAAAATAAATTAATAATGCCACGAATGACTATGCTAGTCACTTACTAATACTCCCAGCTCAAATTTCTTTTGCTCAGGTATATAGTGAGGTACTTGTAGTAGTAAATGTAAACTGGCTTCAACAATACCAGGTTGCGCACCAATAAGCGCACTGCCCATAGCTAGAAATAAAGGTTCTTATACTATTGAGCTGTTTTTTGCTTACTCACATTGTTTGCTGAAATGATGCGTAAGATTAATTAAAACCTTTAATGTCACAAGTAAAGCTTCCCTAATAACAGTACCAGTTGATTCCTTATCAGTTATATCAGTAACTGGATAAAGTGGCACTTCTGAGTCACATAGTCTGTATAGCTTTACAAGTGTATCCAAGATCATACCATCATTGTATTTTAAAATGTAGGTTTGGTTTTCCTCATTATTGTGTGTTACCTTAAAATTGATCCATCACATTAGTGACACATGCAGTAAACAAACTTACATTTTCTAGCACTCGCATGCACCTATCGATTTTTCTCAACTTGTCCAAAAGTGCATCGGTCCAAGTGACAACGTAATCAGAAACTTGTCGACAGCATTCGTATATTGTTTTAATAATGTGCTCCAAACCACCCAACTCTCGTAACTCCTCCTTAAACCATTCGCCCGCCCGCTTCGATGTTAAACTTAACAATGTTTCCATAGCTAACTGCCCCACCTGCACAGATAACCAGTCAACCTATTGTAACGATACAAAAACGTTATTACAGTAATGCTTTCCAAGTTGAGATGCTTCGAATGACCTTGGCTTTGTATTTCTGCACACAATTCGCGCACTTTTTGCTTGTTTTTTTGTAACTGAATCGTACTTAAACCACAATCATCCAAGGCTTGTTGATAGCTTACGTCCGATTCTAAAAGGTTGAGCATTAACTCCAAGCAATCACGATCTAGATCCATATTTAGCCGATCTTGACTTAAAACAAACATCACAGTTGCAGTGCACAATCCTAAACTCTAAAAATTTGCATGATACACAGAGATCGTAAAGTTTTACATGCTTTATACTTGATCCTTTGTGGCGTCATGAAGGGCTTTAAAGAACTTCGCAACGGTACCGTGAGCTCTGACGTGCATTCGAAACGCGGGAGCCATACATTTTGATGCTAAGGTTATCGCCGACAAGCATCGCGTACTAATGGGGTTGTTGTCTTGAAGGGTGTCCAAGATGTAGTCCACGTCGTCGTTGAACTCTTGAAATTCGCCAATTTCTTGAATTTGATGCGCCTTCTTCACGTTACGCACTACTGTGTAATACTGAAACAAATGCGAATTAATAAATACTAAGCCAAATTAAGAAACAGAGACTAAGCTTTAAAGTAAGCACAGAGCAACTCCGAAAAACTTGACTCTTTATCAAATATGTGTGTAATTGCAGCATCCAACATATGAAACTTGTCGCTTTTCAGAGGGGCTCCCACAGGACAAAACAACATAATCCAAATCACCTGGCACGACCCAAAACGGATGGTCTAAGTGATTTGTAACCAGATGTTTCTGACTTTTATGAAACAGAGCAGAGCACAACACGGTTATGAATTTAAAGTTGGCAGAAACGTTGGAGATGAGGTCGACACTATTCTGGAATGTTAGGCTGAACAGTGTATTTCACATGTGCTTTATTTAAAAAATAAAACCAAAAATCTTTTGTGAAAAGGGTTTTTTTTTGTTTTCAGATTGCCTGTCAATTGAAATTGTGGCAGTTTACGTTTACATTGCGACTAGTCAAATTTGACGGTTTTCATTATTTTATCAGATTTTCATACATTAGCTGATAAAAAATATCTTATTTAAGATTAGAATATAAAAACCAGGAAAACCAAAATATTTCAAAAACTATCAGAGATAGGTATACATACATTATTATCAAAAGTTGAAGGGGGTTTCAGAGAAGCTAAAAGATGACAGAAAAATATACCGAGTGTTCTATTTTAAAAAAAGGGAGATTTTTTAATATGACGTTTTGTAACTTTGAACAAAAAAAACACTATGTAAGCTATTTTTTTAGTGTTTCATAGTAGATGTATTTATTTGACTTTTACTTTACCCAGGATGAAAGATATAAAACCTGGAATCAAAATCAATATACGAGCCCTAACACATAAATGTTGGGACATTCAAAATTTTACAAATATTGTAACTTAAAATCATTGTATGTTTTATTATTATTTTTTTCTTACTATAGTTATAAATTAAACATATTTAGTAACTGTCATTTTATATTTTGTTGCAAAGTTAATTAATTACAAATGTCAAATAACACAAAACACAATAAAATTAGAATTTAAAGTGACACAAAAATGTTCGGACACCACCCCTTAATAATGAGTTACATCCCCTTTGACTTTAATACAGCCTGGATTCGTGTAGGCATGGTCGGCACAAGAGCTTTACATTGATCGGTGCCAAAGGTATCCCAAATCTCTTGTAATTTTTCACTCAAAGAAGCAATATTGCGTTGCGGATGAATACACAAACGTTGCTTCATTTTATGTCACACTGTGACAATGACATTGAGATCTGGACTGCATGAGGGCACCTCTAAAACACTATTATTGTGGTTTGTAACCATTTCTTAGTCGTTTTTTGCTGTGACAGGATGCTATAGTTGTGAGAGAATAGGCTCTTGCTAACCTCAGAGGTCAAACGAATTGAACTAGCATCCACATATGAATTTAAATATGATATACAAGAGAGCTGGTATAGAATATCCGCTATCAAAATTCCAGAACTTTGTCATAAAGTGTGGAATTCTCATTTTTTTTGCACATAATATACTCCTGTACATATTACATATCAGACACATGTGGTAGCAACCAGGCATTACGAGAATAACAGGGAGTTATAGGCAGTGCTCGACCATTATAGGCATTAGAAAAGCATTACGGGAGCATTGCAAGCATTATTGGCAAAAAATGTTAAATACGGCTGAATCGGCATTTGGTGTAAACTATTTTGGTTGGTGGATAACCGGTTGTTGTTTGCAGTCTGGACATCGCTGCAAATATGCTGCAGCAGCCATGTGTGCATTTCGATGCGAAGTGTAGTATATTTGTATCATATCTTTTCGTTCGGCACTTGAAAAAAACAATTTCACAATAAAACTAGCACAAATGTAAATAACACTACTTACTTGAAATAGGATCAAACTGTCAAACATTTGTTTACAACAAAAGAACGTTTTGTTTTTCCAAAGCACTCTCCGCAAAAATGTGATACTAAAACCCTCATGTGTGATACATCATTGTAAAGAGAAAAAAAGAGGTAATTTGAAAATGGCGCTCACAAGAAAATATGAAGTTCAAACGTGTTTCTCCGTCATCTTGAAAATTGTTAAAAATGGCGTGTCCAGATTCGAATTCTCCATAAAATTTTGGTTAGAAAAGTTTAGTACAAATAGTTGTCGTTTTTTTGCGATATTTTGAAAACTGTTCAAGAGATTTTAAATTTCTTTGCAGATCATTATTCAGCACGAAAATTCGCAACTTTACCCCCCATTTAACCAACTTTCTATCTCTTAAGATAAGCGAGAAAAATGGATGTCGAACATGGTGAGAGATGGTGCAAAATATGGGGAACAGGGCTGGTGGTCAACCAATTCTGAAACAATTTTATCAATCGTTTGCACAAACTATAAGAGCTACGAGGACGCCGCTGTGGCTAAAAGGCGGTAGAGGGGATGAACGTGTCCAACATATGGTGAGAACTTATATCAACGCCACTGAAAGAGGAGGGTAAGAAGCGTTAAAAAAACGCATTTTCAGACCTAGAAGAGAAGGCATTTGACCTATGGGGTCGTTACTTCCTGAGTCAAGCAGTTTCTTTTTTTCCGGGGTCCCTAGCAGCATTGAATAAAAAATTAAGAAGAAGCCTAACCTTATGGAAAAAAGTGGTTCTGTTGGTAACGTACGCGGGGTTTGGGAAGTAGATCCCACCACGGTATCCGGAAGAATATCCCCACTTTTTAGAATGAAATAATTAATTCAGTTGCAATGTGCTGCTTTACTCGCTGAAGGTCTATATTTGTATAAGAAGTTGTCACCGACATATGATATTGTATGCATTCTTTATATTTAGCCATCCTTGATAATAAGGTGGGTCAGGAACACTTATACTACTATAGTAAGGTATCATGTTGCCAATCTCGTGAATTCCACTTATTATTTGAAATGAAAATATTAGCGTACCATGCTAACTATACAGGCTAGCGGATGGGGTTTCATTATGAGGAAAAAATTCTATACATTTTCACGTAGAAATCAAGTGGGATAGAAATAATTTTGATACCACTACAACTATTTTTTAATGGAGGCAGTATTTTATATCATGGTTGTTAAATGGAGTATTTTAGCTATTCAGCGATATAAGGTTGTTTTTAAAATATTGGACAAATGTGCCCAAAAACGAATTTTATACAGGGTGAGTTTTTGTTTCATTTGAAACATTCTGAACATTTTTGAAACCGTAAGACTTAGAGATTAGGTTAAATGAGGAAAGAGTTGTTGTTTTAAGAGCTTAATCAAGATATGCTTTTGTTTTTTGAAAAAAATTCACAGTATACTAGACACTAGACAGTAGATATGAGAGAAAAACAAAATTAGTGATTTTTTGTTCTTTGCACATTTCTGTATTTCTAATACTAACGATTCAACATTTAAAAGAAAAATCACTAATTTTGTTTTTTTTGATTGTAGATCTTTTTAATAATTTCCATTCTTCTTTTATAATTTTCGAGTTATAACGCAAACTTAAATTTTTTTAAATGGCAACCATGGTTGCAATGATATAAGGTTCATTGTACTTACTTTGACAAATAAACATGAATTTTCTTTGAGGCCTTCAACAATGAACAGCAGTATTTTGTTTTTTATTATTTTCCATGGCATGATACGATTTACTTGAATATGATTATTAATTTAACTTTAATAGTACATTTTCGAAGATGGCCTTTAAATAATTATGTTAAATGTGCCACAGTTACATTATTACCTATCTCATTCGATATTGTTTTCCATGGCAAACTCTTTTTATTTACCTCTCAATAATACGAAAATTCCTGCAGTGCGTTTATTTATTAAGGTACGTTTAGCAAGCCTTATATCATTATAAAGAGAAAAATGTGTCCTTTTCAAAAATGATTTGTATAATGTTCTACCACTGGCTGTGAAGCAGTTAAATTTCGTTAAGTTTAAAAATTTTATAAAAAATCATTTTTTAACTTATTGTTTCTACTCCATAAAGGAATACCTCAGTACACCTATTGTTTTTAATTTGTGATTATAACTTGTATTTTTATTTTTATATTGTTAGTTTTGTATGAATTTCTTTGTCTGTTTGTACTTTTTATTGTATACTACTTATTTATGCTGTAATTTGACGTTTCGCAAGCATTGAATGTGATATTACGACAAAAATATACATGATACAATCGTAAAATATAGAAGCAAAATGGTATGTTCATGATATTAAGCATTAAAATGTCTAAATCTTTTATTCGTGAAGAAAAATCACTAAATTTGTTTTTCGCTCATATCTAGTAAACTGTGGATTTTTTTCAAAAAACAAAAGCATATCTTAAATAAAATCTTAAAACGACAACTCTTCCTCATTTAACCGAATTTCTATGTCTTATGGTTTCCGAAAACCCCAATGCTTAAAATGGAAAAAAAACTCACCCTGTATATAATAATCAAGTATGCCATAAAAATAAGTGAACATGAAAAACCCTACATTTGTGCTATTTCTGTAAATTACATAAACTTGAAATCGGGGCTCTGTGGCTCTCCGTCATTTATTTATCAATCAATTTCAGACATACGGTAAAACACTATAGCATCTATCAAGTGTGCAAAATCGATAAAAAAAACTTGCCACACAGGGCACAGACGCCTGATTTCAAGTGTATGTTCTATAATGCTGTGCGCGCGACCATGTACACAGACGGATGGATGGACGGACCGAGAGACGACAGAAAATCATGAAGTTGCTTTTGTCGCTCGTAATGTCAAGTGTCAATAACTGTGATTTATTCTGACAAAAGGTCTTGTTAACGTGTAACAGATGATCAACAAACCTTGAAACATTAAAATTTTATTGAGAACCGCTGACCTTTAGTTAAATGGGGGCTATTATCCCATTGTTTTAAATGTCGCAGTGGGAATTCCCGCTACTTAACGACCTAATGAGAAATCTTAAATTATTGGTGAAACGAACTATACTTACTGTTAATTTAATCGAGCAGTGCTGTGCATGGAAAGGAAAGCAACGCCTAAGTAAAACCATTGACTAAAACCACTATTTATTCAATGGTAAAACTGAAAACTCAATCAATGCCCTAATACAATAACAATATTGTCCCTCTAAAACCAGCTGCACTTTCTCCCTTCCAAAAATTAGAGGAAAACACGATCGTTCGCTAACATGTCCTTGTGGACGTATTGTCCGATAAGTAAAGCAGTGATTTGAATCATTGGTGATTTACGAGATGATTTTTAATTGAATAATCTGCATTTGTAAAGATCTAAATGGATTTATACGAGTTATCTGAAGTGATTCAGCCTAGATGCTTATGTCATTCAAGCTACCGGTTAAATGCTGATTCGGTAAAGAAAACACATCCGGAGATAAGAGTTAAAGAGTTTAAAAGACTTGCACAACGACCTGAACAGCGCGCCAATGCAGAAGTACCGCCTATAAGTAGTCGATGTAATACGAACAAATTGTGGCTGTAATAAAAAGTGGCTCCATCTATTTTTCACTGTAATTTTTTAGGGACAAATCACAGTACAGGCGTGAGGCTTCTTCTCCATTTGTTATTCAATGCTACCAGTTATGGAAGTACGCTTTTCAAATTTTTCAAGATACTGAACTATGCCGAGGCCAGAATTTACCATCTTGTGGTATGAGTTTTGGATACTTTTTACAAATTAGTGACCGTCTGCACCGACAAATTTAAGTGGAGCTTAGCTCAAGTGTAGCTTAAAATCCATGGCAACGATTATTGAGACAATGGTTGCCATGGATTTTAAGCTACGGTTAAGCTAAGCTACCCTTAAATTTATCGCTGCAGACGGCCATTGGGCACTAAGTCTAGTGCCCTAACCACTATATCATTGAATTCAACCCTTCATGTTTTATGAGCTATAGCAATATGTGCTGCATCAAAATGATGCAAAATTGATACAAGATGGCGATGCATGTATTTTTTATGCATGTTTGTAGGGTATATTTTAGGAAAACTAAACCTAAAGTCACTAGATATACTAAACCTAAAGTCACTAAATATAGAAAGTACCGCAATCCATTGGGCTCGTGTGTTAGAGAGAGAACGCATGATTTTTGCCCAAAAATGGCGGAAGTTACCAGATTCTAGTAACTTTAATGTTAGGGATTGTTCCACCTGTTTAGAGATATCTGTATATATTTTTATAAAACATGACAGTACTATGAAGTTAGGTTATAAAAAATTACAGCTATTCAGATTTTATTTGTCAATTTTTTTAAGTTGGCAGCAAATTTGCCCAAAAATGGCGGATGATTGCGGTACTTTCTATATCTAGTGACTTTAACTAAACCATGAATCGTACGCCCTCTAGCGGCAAACCTAGAAACTTGAAAATAATTTCCAGGGCCTCTTTTGTTAACAAATTTTTTTTCCTGTACATAAAAAACAGTGTATCTTCATATACTCCTCAGATTATTACAATACACATGTACTGATTTTTATAATCTACTACTACTTTACTAACAAAAACTTACTCCTTTGTCTTGCTTCATGCATTTAATACTTGTAACAGCTTCAGATTCCTCATCGCTGCCTTCTTGAGTAATCCTCATCAGAGGTTCATTGCTAAACCCGTACTCGTCAAACGTCGACACATTTTCGCTTTTATTCTCATCATTATTTTTAGGCGCATCCTTATCATCACTCCACTTATGTTTGTACAACGCTCGCCGTTTTTTACTTCCGTCGGCAATCATCGACCTACTTTTAAATATGCTCCCCTTTTTCTTCGATATCACCAGCTTGACGGGCGCCAACGGCAACGGATCCGAATGTTGCGGCTTCTCCAGAATCTTATCGAAAATCTCATCTTTGTGTTTCTCAAGCGGAAATAATTTGGATTTGTCCATACTTCGGGTGGTTCGCCTCGGCTGCGGTTCGGGTACTTCCTCGTTTTCGGACTCGCTGGACTCCTCCTCCACCTTTTGTTTTTTGGAGGGCGTTTCTGAGAACAACGCGCTTAAGTCGGCTTCGACGTCGTTCACCGGAATTTCGGGGGGGACCTCCTCGACCGGTTCCGGAAATTGTTCTTCTACAGTCTGCTCGGTTACAATACTGTCGCTACGGTCCACGTTGTCGTCGAAGCATTCCTCTTCGATTCTCTGCGTTTCAGTCTCCAGAATATCACAATAGCCCTCGTCCACTTTATCGGGCGGATCAGATTTATTTTCGGGTTCGACTGGCAGAAGTAGGTCGGGATTCAGATTTTCGGAGACCGACGCAGATTCCTTGGGAGAATCCGGTCGAAGTAAACTGTCATATAATGCCTTACGTTCGAGCTCGTATTTCTCGGCGGGGATATACTGAGGTGAGAGCTCCAAATCTTTTTTTGGAGAAGTGAAAAGCGCGGAAAACGTGTCACCTGGCGTATCCGCAGTAGCTGGACTGGTATTGGGATCCGATTGCATACTGCGACGTGCCGATCTTGTAATTCTAATATTACCCGGTACACGAGCTGTTGTATCTTTTGTGGAACGTGGCGAAGTAATGGTGGAGGTGGATGGGGTACTGGAGGGCGTGGGAGTGCTTTCGGACTCATCAGAATCGCTTAAAAGCTGAGATTTGCCACGACATATTCTAATAACTATCGGCGGTTTACTTTCATCTCTTTTTGAGTTATTGGCGTTAGGGCAGAGAACTTCTTTTTCAGGTGGCGGATTATTTTTTGATGTAAAAAACTTTTTGGATTTTTTAGATCTCTCGTTCGCATGCTTTGTGCTACCAGTATCACTTTTGCCGGTGTAGACAATCGGCTGAGAATCTTGTTGGTCATTATTTCGGCTTTTGAAGAACTTTTTCGGTTTTGGAATGTTAACAGTAGTCTCTAACTTTTCGCTTTCATCACCTGTTAACAAACCTAAGCAATTACAATAAGTTTTTAAACGGCTAACAAACGAATACTAACCATTAGCTTTACGTATCGACGTAAATGAAGTAATGCCCCATTTCCCTATCGTACCGGTGGACCTGGCTGCAGAGGGGCAATTGCTATTCTCCTTTAAAAGTTTCTCAAACGACAAATTTGTTTGACAATTTGCTCGACGATATTTTCCAAACCCCCTACTCGACATACTTGCTTCATCTTATGTGGGAAATCAATGTGGAATTAGGTTAGCACTACACTTTTATTTCATTTTACTTACTTATGATACTATTTCCAATTAATGCATGATATACCAGTATTTGTTTTTAAACGTTAAACACTTCTATTTTCATTATTTGGTATCACGCCTCTTTTAAACCAGTAGTTCGGTACGCAGCGCATTTTTAGGCGAAATTTAAGTCAAAAAAAGCTCAAAATCTCCTTCAAATTTATTCAAAGTTATCGTTTGTGGAGTCAAAAGCACTTCAAACAAATTCTATGGTAGTGTACGAAAATGCATCCATATTGTGTTGTGTTTTGATCTTGATTCTCTTCGTTAAGTTACGTTAAAGTTAACGTAGATTAACGGCGCTACTTCGCTACAGTGGCGTAGGTAAGTACAGGGCTTTCATTTTAAAACAATTTATTGTAATTGGTAATTTTGATAAAAATCAAAAAACAGAGGGAAATTTGGTGAATTACGCTTAGTATTTACCTCCGCACCCCAGTTTGTTAAAGATAAGTATATTCAGACAGTATTATCAAGACAGTTTAATATCTTCAGTTCATCAGTTGTTTTGCCAATAAACAAATTACGTGAATTTCGTATAGGTACCTTTACACTATAATATATCTCACATGATTTTTTATATGATATGTTATATGATATTTACTACCAACATATTTTTCGTAAGAGTTTTAATGTTTTACTTTACACTTGACAGGTTTTTCATATGACTTTAATACAAGAAGTTACGAAACCATATATAACTTCTCTAAATTAAAATGTTCCAAATTCAAAAGTTACAGCCCTTTGAATATTCTTTCGAAATTGGTTTCTAGCGTCTAGCCTATAACTTTTGATTGAGAAGTCTGATCGAAAAAGTACGAATTGTTTTGGATTCTACGCACCAAAATTAATAAGAAAAAGTGTTTTCCCGAGAAATTTTGGTGCAGTCGATTTTTGGTAAAAAAGGAAGGTTATACACTGCCTTTTTTTGAGCCCCGAAAAAAAAATTGTCTCAGATCGACCCGGGAAAAAAATTTTCTTATAGAATGTGGCCTGTAGAATCCATAATTTCAAACAGTTCCAAGATTGGGCTACTAGTTCCAAAGTTACAGCCCTTTGAATTTTTTTTCGAAATTGGTTTCTAGTCTATAACTTTTGATTGAGAAGTCTGATCGAAAAAGTACGAATTGATTTGGATTCTACGCACCCAATTTAATAAGAAAAAGTGTTTTCCCGAGAAATTTTGGTGTAGTCGATTTTTGGTAAAAAAGGAAGGTTATACACTGCCTTTTTTTGAGCCCCGAAAAAAAAATTGTCTCAGATCGACCGGGAAAAAAAATTTTCTTATAGAATGTGGCCTGTAGAATCCATAATTTCAAACAGTTCCAAGATTGGGCTACTAGTTCAAAAGTTACAGCCCTTTGAATTTTCTTTCGAAATTGGTTTTCTAGTCTATAACTTTTGATTGAGAAGTCTGATCGAAAAAGTACGAATTGTTTTGGATTCTACGCACCAAAATTAATAAGAAAAAGTGTTTTCCCGAGAAATTTTGGTGCAATCGATTTTTGGAAAAAAGGAAGGTTATACACTGCCTTTTTTTGCCCCGAAAAAAAAATTGTCTCATATCGACCCGGAAAAAAATTTTTCTTATAGAACGTGGCCTGTAGAATCCATAATTTCAAACAGTTCCAAGATTGGGCTATTAGTTCAAAAGTTACAGCCCTTTGAATTTTCTTTCGAAATTGGTTTCTAGTCTATAACTTTTGATTGAGAAGTCTGATCGAAAAAGTACGATTCGTTTTGGATTCTACGCACCAAAATTAATAAGAAAAAGTGTTTTCCCGAGAAATTTTGGTGCAGTCGATTTTTGGAAAAAAGGAAGGTTTATACACTGCCTTTTTTTTGCCTCGAAGAAAAAATTGTCTCAGATCGTCCTGAGAAAAAATTTTTCTTATAGAACGTGGCCTGTAGAATCCATAATTTCAAACAGTTCCAAGATTGGGCTACTAGTTCAAAAGTTACAGCTAGGGAATGCAATCCCGCAACAAAATCTCAATCCCGGTATTTGCGGGATCGTTAGATGTTAATCCCGCGGGAACCCGGTATTTGCGGGATCCCGCAAAATTTTAAATAAATTGGCAAATAAGCAGTTTTGTGCGGTTAACTTCTGTATTAAAATAAATCGCTAATTATCACAATAAGTATTCAACAAAAAAGTACCTTCAGGCTAACTTAGAACTCAAAAAATCACTTGTAAAGCACAAATAAGTGAACTTCTAAACTGCCTCAAAGTTTAACAATTATTTTAAAAATAATTTCTCCGTTATGCGTTTCATTATCAAAGCAAACAGAGTCGTCCCCTTGGGTCGACATTAAGGATAAGTGTACCCTTTTTGAAAGATTACCCCAAACATTTGAAGGGTCAATTACCAATCAAGACACTATTTGACAATGTGTGTCTGAAAACACCACTACAACCAGACAACCAAATACCAATATACTCGTAAATATTTATTGCTCGATTTATTGTTTATGTAATTTATTCTTTCATTAGTAACTAATATACCTAAACAATGATTATACACACCTATAATCAATGATATAATCAAAAGTTTACTGGTTTAGGTACACAAGTATTCAGCTTTTTCAGATAAGTACAACAGCAAAATGCGAAAAGTAACCATAGAAGGGCGGGATCACTTGGGTATTTAAAATAAGTCATATCATTTGTCATGCAGAAATAGAAACATCCCTATTCCACGATTTACGTATTATTTCCATATTATTTCCTTATGATTTGTCTTATGACAGCCATAATACCAAAATAGTGTAGTGTAAACACAAATCTAAATGCTTATTACTTATCATATGACAAATCGCATGAGAAGTATGGTAGTGTAAAGGTACCTTAAAAAAGGTCAAACGTATTATAGACGAAATAAAAACCTTCGAGAAAGTAAAGGAATTATTTATTTTTCAGCCATTCTACCCAAGTGTGCAACAGCAAGCCGGTGACTACTAGCATATTATGTTTATTCATTATATCTTTATATTAGGTATATCTATTATATCTTTTGGTTTAACCAAAACTGTCTTTGAGAACACGCGTCAGGATTCATGTATAGATAATATTTTTAACTAACCTCGATTCTCACAAATATAATGTAAAAGTCCTGCAACCAGAGCTCTCAGACCATAGTGCCCTCATGATCACTTACACCACAGTTGTACCGGAGGATGCATCTTCCAAAGAACGCATTATCTACAAGCCAATTACACACATGGGACTATCCAAGCTTTATAACACCTTGGAACAAACAGACTGGTCATTCATTTCCAATACTAACAAAACTGTAAATCACAAGTTTGCTTCATTTATTGACATTATCACAACAGCGTGTGACATGTCTTTTGGAAGCAAATCTAAAGTAAGTGCTCGTAACAACAGACAGACATACAAAGTACACTGGTTTAACCACAATATAAGAAAAAGCAGCGAGGTTCTCCATTTTCTAACTTTTTTAAACAAGCAAAACTCAAACATCGTCAGCAACGAGACATTAAAGGATTACAGGAGGATCTACAGAGCCGAAATTAACAAGTACAAAAAACAGGCTAATGATAACCACATGAAGAAATCTTCCAACACTAAAAAAGCTGCATGGGACATCATACAGAACTACAACCCAGTAAAACATAGACAAATTCCAAACAGTCTGACAGTTGACATATTTAACTCTTTCTTTAGTGATGCGGGTACTAACATAGTGAACAATTTACCACAAACTAGTGTGAATCCTTTAAACTTCCTTGAAAACTTCAATATTCCCGGAAACCTAAATTTCTCATTTAGGGAAATAACGTACAATGAAATACGAGAGACTAAAAAATACCTTGAGTAGGGACACATACAACCTCAATTTAAAAATCGTTAAAATGGTGCAAACTATAATAATTTATCCCCTTTGTAAACTCATCAACCAGTCTGTTAACGAAGGCATATTTCCTGATTGCCTAAAAATTGCAAAAGTGGTTCCAGTCCATAAAACAGGTCCGAGAGATGAGGTATCAAACTATAGACCAATCTCCATCATCCCAATCTTTGGTAAAATTTTTGAAGCGGCGATGAAAAAACAAATACAGCAGTATTTTGAAGAGAAAAACCTATTCAGCACTTGTCAATTTGGCTTCCGCAATGGCAGGTCAACTACTACAGCCATAAATTACTTGCTACAGCTTGTGAAGCACGGGTTTGAATCTAAACGAGTCTCACAAATGTCTCTCTTTGACCTAACAAAGGCATTTGACTGTGTTAGCCATGAGTTACTGATCAGGAAACTTGCGAAGTATAAATTCGATGCGACCAGTATAGCACTAATTCGTTCGTACCTCAATGATCGTACCCAATATGTTACACTTAACTCAATTAAATCCAAGAATGCAGCCGTGAAGATGGGTGTTCCTCAAGGATCTGTATTGGGGCCAATCCTATTTCTTGTTTTCATTAATGACCTATCAGCACTTTCAACGGCACCACATCAGTACCTAACTCTTTTTGCCGACGATACCACCGCCCTTACTACAGCCGACAGCAAGGAACTCCTGAGTAAATCGTCTAAGAAGCTACTGTCAGGAATAACCCAGTGGTTCACGATCAATGGTCTAAGTATTAATGAACTGAAAAATCAATCCCTGTTACTGGGCCTCCATAATACAGATAAATCTCCCCCAGTGAAACTGTTGGGTATATATATCGATGGCAAGCTGACGTGGGCAGAGCACGCCTTGTACCTGTCCAGTAAACTGTCTAGAATGAACTACATTATAAGAAATCTAAAGCCTAGAGTAACAAAGCAGGTCTTACTACAAGCATACTATGGATACATCCACTCCACGTTAAGCTACGCAGTACTGTGTTGGGGACATTCCGTCCATGCAGCTAAAGTGTTTTCCGTCCAGCGCAAGTGCATAAGAATCAAAGACAACCGCAAATATAGAGATTGTTGCAGAACATCCTTCACCAAACTTAACATCCTTACACTCCCAATATGTACCTATATATATATGTTAGGCGCAAAGACCGAAAACGGCCATTGAGCGAAAAAAACGGCCACAACGCGTTTTGGGTAATTTCAATTGACCACGAAGCGTTCTTGACGTTTTTTTCGGTTTGTGGGCGTTTAAAAACAGCCACTTCGCGTTCTGAATAATCTAACTGTACCATTACGCGAATTCGTGTTGCGGCTCTTAACTGTTTTCAACCACAACGCGTTCTAAAAATACCAAATATGTAGAACCCATTGTGTTTTTCCAATAGCTACGACGTGATTATTAAACATTCAGGGTAGTTTTTGTGAAACGGGAGGAAACTTTTAGCTTAGGAACCACAACTTACAGAGAGCTACTTACAGAGAGGTACATACGATTTTTTGATACTATCTCTTCCTTGCGTAAGTGTTCTTTATTTATTTTTGCAAGAGCTGTTGGAGTGGCATTTTGAGTTACATTTCACGTCTTTGGATTTGCACTTGCACTTTTTGTCGCTGCAGTATCGCTTGAAATTGCAGCTGACAAACCCCTGTGTGCTTCCCGACGATTTCCCTGAAGCGGTCCTGATGGTTACGGTATTCGTTGGTACGTCGTTCTCATCCATGAACGTGTTAAACAGGCGTGAACTCGTTTCGAGAATAAAGCCGTTGAAGTGTGGATGTGTGCTTAAATAGTCACAATGGGTTCTGAATATTTACTATTTTTTAGAATGCGTTGTGGTTGAAAACAGTTAACAGCCACAACGCGAATTCTCGTAATGGTACAGTTGGATTGTTCAGAACGCGTAGTGGCTATTTTGAAACGCCCACAAAGCGAAAAAAACCTAATGAACGCTACGTGGTCAATTTACATTACCCAAAACGCGTTGTGGCCGTTTTTTTCGCTCAATGGCCGTTTTCGGTCTTTGCGCCTAACATATATACCTGTCTAACACTCGCAAAGAAGGCCCTTCCAACCCTTCGTAAAAACAGTGATAAATGTCATTACAATGTACGGACTAAAAACAACCTTGTCGAAGACTACTATCGGACGGTAAAAGGACGAGACATTAACTATTTCATGAAGAAGTGTTACAATGCTCTTCCTGACTACATCAGGGATCTGGAAGAACAACAATTCAGAAAAACAATCAGAGTGTTCCTTGGTGCCAAAGCATTCTATAGCATCGATGAGTACTTGAACTACAAGTTTGATGGCTCTGAACAATAAAGTGGCCATTGTACTTCCCTACTGTGACGTGTGGAAATATTTTATGTATAAACACCACCAATAAATATTATTATTATTATAAACAATGGTACTAGATTGTATTGTCGTTGTTTGCTCCCGTTCATTTCTCTCTCCCGTGTAAATTCTGGGATTCATACATTTCTGTGTGAAGTAGGAAGTAGCAAACATCAAAGAGCTTAGTGGATCAGTTTTTCCCACTCTTCCATTCAACCACATAATTCGCGAATGAACAATTAAAACTAATTCGCCAGATTTTACGTTTCGCTCTTCTTTATTTGTGAATCACTTTGTCCTTCACGTTAGAGTTGGTGTATACTCTTTCAAGCCTCTTCCCATTGACTATACCTAATATTAAATCTTTACTTACTTTGTTTGCTACTGGAGACAGGAAATTCAATACCTTAGATTTTAAATTGAAAATTCGAGATTTGAAATTCAAGATTCGAGATTTGAGATTAGACGGAATTCAGGATTCAGGATCGAAATGCAATAAGGTTGAACTTGAGTTCTTTTCGAGAAATTAAAGTACTATACCGAAAACACTTAATTCCTTCTCTTCCCTTGGCGGAATACAATCAAAATTGACCCAAAAAATACCTACGAGTAATCTTAAAAAGCTTTATTGGCTATTTAGTTAGCCACAGTAGTTAACACTTTAGGATTAGGTACTTACTCCGTAACAGTAAAATTATCTATAATACACCTACACTAATGGCTACAACCATCTTTTTAACGCAACACCGACAAAGGTAAAAACAAGCACAAACGTGCTTTTGACTTTGTTACTATCATTGCCCTTCCCTTCATCCGTATTCTGAAGGTACTGCATCAGCTCCTTTTCATTCTTCACAACCCATTCCAAATTCTTCTTTGCGGTTTCGATTGCAGTATCAGCTGCGGTCGCCGCATCCTTTAATTTATCCCTATTCTTCGATATAAACTCTTCTAACTGCAATTGATTTCATTGGCAATTACTTATATAACATAAACATCTGATTACCCTTGCAACATCTTCCTTTGTCGTTAATCGATCAGCTAATCCGTTAATAACACTAGTCAAAGCATTCATACCGCCATAGCTAAAACTCACAGTTAGAATATCGTTCAACATACACTATGGTTATGTCTGTGCCTTGTTGAAATCGATTCAAAATGATCTATTAGAAATTGAAGTCCGATAGCAACTCCTTTTGAGCTTCCTGATATAACCGAGTTGAAAACTGACTGCCCGTCCTGTCTTCGTATCGTAGAGTTCTCTTTGATTGACTCGTTCAAATACCTAATAAGTAACTGATAGAAATTACGCATTCAACTCTTCGAGACTAACCTATGGAGGAGATTGGTGTTTTGTGTGCATCCCAAAGCCGATATTATTGTGACACTTTCAGAGGCCCTTTGACTTTGTTCTAGTTTCTTCCATAAATATTCCCAGTTTTCAGATTTGCCTGTCGATCTTACAGCAGTACAGTATACCACACTTCGCAGATTGGGATCAATCCTGAAAATCTATACTTTATTAATGGATTCTTGAGATAAAGACGTGTGGGTACGTTTTATTTTTGGTCATATAATCGGTGAAAAGGGCTTGGGCTTGCGATGTGCAGTCGCTAACGCTCAATTGACAAGCCCAAGTCAAAGCCATTGCTTTTTTTAGCATTTCAACGTGTCGTTTGTTGTTGTTATTAAAATCGACGCTCTTGTACAGAGTGTTCATCATACGTTGGATGTGTTTCTAAAACGATCAAGATTGTGATCATCATTAACTTCATTAGTCTCCTTACATCAAGAGATTTGCCCAAAGCAGACTCTTTATCAATTCTTCTCCTTAAATACACAAATGCATTGAAGGCAGATTGCCATGGGTAGTAGTCGTTGTCCTTCTGTAGGAAGGAGATGATGTTGAATGCCCTTTCATAAGTTAGAACATCCGCACGGGCCAGATTCATTGCGTCGTCCACGATTTGGGCTCTGTTGATTGGCGTGATACCGTCGAAGTTTTCCTTGTGCAATGCATGTTGTAGACCAGTCCAAAGGGCGTCATCGTAGTTAACCCTCACAAACGCTGAAACAGAGACAGGTGATCGAGTCAACGGAGATTAATGTTGTTACCTGAAACGCCAACGTTAAGAATGACCCAGCTAACTTGAGGGGTCCAAACGCCGTTGATCACAGTTTCTGATTCAGTCGGCAACATCCACTTTTTCGCTTTTAGGTCACTAAACTTTTTTTCAACGGACGTGGTATAAGTGACTGGTATGTACCACTTAGTAGGCGGTGTGGTATTTGAAAAGAATTGGGACTGAAATTATTAAGCTTTAGATAACGGTAGGTAAGTGGTGTGTTGATCAACCTGTGTAAGAATTAAGTTGCTATCAGATTTGTTAACCGTAATCATTGGAAATCCGTGTTTTTCCGTCCACGAATTCATAATGGCCGACAGATTAGTAGGCAGCTGGTTGCTCACCTCTACCTTTTCTTGTATTTTTTTGAAGAGATCTTCTGGTTCGCTGGAGTTAAATTTACTGCAACCATACTAATTAGCGTTTCGTGTTATTTCAAAAGCCGGGCTTTACAGATCTGTGAGGTAGAGATTTAAGCCATCGAAAAATGTCGTTTCGCCCAGAAATAAAGACATCATACGAATAACGCTGCCGCCTTTACTATAGCTAATAGAACCAAACATACCGCTAATGTCACCTGGAGTAAAAACATTCGGATTTGTCAGCGGTTTCGCTTTTTCTAAAGAGTCGGAGACAAGAACGCGTTGGTGCTCTTCAATGATGAATTGCAAATCCAACTCCCAATCATTTTCAATCTGCAACAAGATTTTAATTAGGTCATCGAAATTCTTCGACTACCTATACCTGGGCAAGTGAAAAGTACTCAAAGAAGGTGGCGAATCCTTCATTAAGCCAGGTACTTGACCACCATTTTGTGGTAACTAAATTTCCGAAAAGCATATGTGACAGTTCGTGGGCCACAACAGTTCCCACTCTTTGCTTGTTTCGTCGACTGTTTTCATAGGGATCCCAAAGAATTGCTGTTTCCCTAAAAGTTTCAAATCGGTCGGTTGAGCTTTTCGGTTAGTTTGTACCTGTATGTGACCATTCCCCAGTTTTCCATAGCACCTGCCGAAAAATCGGGTATTGAAAATTGGTCAAGCTTTGTTAGCCCCGATACTGAATAAGGTATTTTGGTAAAATTTTCCATGACTTTGAGTAATTTTGGACTAACAGACAATGCGTATTGGCTATCGCGTATCGTTTCCATTGATGACCATATCGAATGCTTTATATTATTCGTCGAAACCGTCATGGCCGCGTATTTCGTAACGGCAAATGCAACTAAGTAGGTGGACATAATAGGCGAAGAATTAAAAATCGTTTTCTTTGACTTTGTGGAAGTTCTAAAAATAAGTCTTTGCCACTATACCCTGTTTTTTAACACGGGCCCAGCAAATACTTACTCAATAGTTTTAATCTCAGCGTTACTCACAGCGTAGTAATCTAAAGGATGATTAATAACCACGTCAAATTTTGCTTTGTATTGTGGTTCATCGAAGCATGGGAAAGCTCTTCGTGCCGAGGTTGGCTGAAACTGTGTTACCGCAATCCATCTGCGTTCAGAGACTACAAAATAATGTAATAATGAACGTTTACTTACTCAGATTCCCCTTTCGAATTGTTATAATAGCTGCGGTAAAACCCATTCATGTCCAAGTCCAAAAATCCTTCATAATTATTAACCGAAAGAATATAGGAGCTATTTATCGATATAGGAGACTGCGTTTTAATGGTAACCATCTCTAGCGCACTGTTAAAGGTGACGTCTGAGACGGCGATTGGGGTTTGAGGAGGATCGTGGGATATTTGGATATGCGTGGCGTCAAATTTTAACTTATTGGAATGCAACGTAATCTCCGAAGTTTGCAACTTTGCCCTAAAACGTATCTTGACATTCCCAAAAAATTGCGCCGTGCTTCCAAAGTTGTCCATCACGGTTACTTCAACCTCGTAAGTGGACGGTATTAAATTTCCATTTAGGCGGTATTTTTGCTTTTCGTTGTCACCGTCGGTTTTCACCCCGTTGAGGAGCACGAGTAGTGGAAATAAAACCTTTAGGTAGCTCATAGTTGAAGGTAACTATAACAAAAGAAAACATGGAACTCACACAAGAAGGGCAATGAGCAATTAGCGCAAGAATAATATCAATCGTACCTTTATCGATATGGGGAGATCAATAAGCTTTATTCAAAGTAACATTGAAAACAGTATTGACATTTAGATAATAACTCGAATGATCTATTGCATACCAACGGATTCGATGTGCTCACGATAAAACAACTAATCTGAAAAAACTATCTCATGGTGTACATATACCACTACACCAACTGATTTTGAAATGGTAGAAAAGGGTATTATAAAATTCCTAATATCAATGTGATAACGTTAATCCATTTTTATGACCTTTTTTATAAGAACACAGTTAAAGACTTAAATCCTCAGAAATTTTTTTGATATAGATACATATTTCCCAAAAAAAAGACAGGAGAGAGCACTCACCTAGTGTACCAACAAACCAACGCGCATAAATAGCAGGAATGTACCTTTTCTTTTACGAATACTACTAATTTATGATGGTAAGTTTCCTCAAACAAGCATACATTTAGTTCCCAAAATATCTTTGGTGGTACACATTCTAACGCTGACTGATAATAAAGTATAATCTCCTACCTATCTATAGGTCCTCCAGTGTAAAAGAATTATTGTGCATACATTGCTATCTTTTAATACTATTTGTTATAAAGGGGAATGGTAATTGATTAGCGAGCTAGCACTTTAGACATTTATGGATAGTAGGTGAGTAGGTATCTATAAAAGTAACAAACGCGCCGCCGACTGTGGGTGTTCGCTACCTATGTCATTGATATGTTAAACTCTCGACCAAGTTTCGTTATCAGGTTGCATTTAGGTAATTGGTAGCATGTTTGTCTTTGTTGGCAAACGAAAATAAAATTGCGGCATATTTTTTGAATCGATAACCACAGTAGCAGGAATCATTCACCAACATTTCAAAGTAGCATACAGTGTATCAATTTGAAAACCTACCACCCCAAATATATGAGCCGTAACAAAAAATCTACGGAAAAACAAAAACACGTCATATATTTAAGGGGCTTACATGAAATTGGATCAACCCTATAATGAAGATACATAAGCAACTCAAAAAATTTGAATGGGGAAGAGAGGATCAGTGACACCTCATTTTAAAGATCATTCAAACGTATTTTCCAACATTTGTGGTAGACATCGCTAAGGACTATATCAAAATAACTATCCTATTGGCTATTTTAGTCAAAAATTTTTTGTAATTCAACATACAAAAATCAAATCAAATAAGTGTGTTACCGGGCTCCCGTTACAGAAGTCTGTTTCCTAATCACATAAATTGTATTGTTGTTACCAAACGATTAAGTAGATCACACGTAAGTTTCGTTTTGTTTAATTTTTAGTGAATATGTAACTTGGCCTGTTTATTTCAATACTAAATTATAGGTGCGCAATTATAAAAGTGCTTTAATATTGTTACAATAAAAATCATAGTAAACTGCACGAATAATAATGTAGCAGACACAGCGAGTGCGATTTAAAAAGAAGGTTTCATGCTACCGGTAAATTTATCGGACATCAGTTAATTTCCGTAGAAAAATGTATTCACATACCCAGTTCTTTAAATTATATTTAAACGTACTGTATAAAACAAGAAAGACTTGTATTTGTTGATAACTACCTATTACAAAAATTATGCAAATTTGACTTTTGATACACCTACTGGTTAAAGCGACTTATTATTATAATAAGTAGAAATTTCCAATAATTTGGGATAGAGAAAATTTGGTTCAATTTGGTTTGCTTGAAGTCAAATTATGGGTCATTTACCTTTTACATTAGCAATATATCCAGAGATGTGTTGTGTATTTATCAAGAATGGGTGTAAATTTTTTTTAACATAATTTTGGGCATGAATGAAATTTTGAAGTTTGATATGGGAGCGATCAAGCCAGATAAACGTGACGTAATTTCTTTGAACTTTAAATGATTAATTAAAATTTGATAAATAATTATTATGCTTGTGGTTTTGCCATTGCATTGGCATAGTCATTGGGTACAAATGAAGGTCATATTTAAAAATGGTTATATTCAAATTGTGTTCAACAATTAATAAACGTTTATTATTTGGAAGGGGGAATTTTTGTAATTATAAAAACGTTTAATTACATCACATTCAAGCACGTGCGGTATTAATTACTGGCCTACTGAGATAAACAATAATGACATGCAGAATAGTTATCTCTATTTTTTCAACTCATTTACAGGCTGTTTTATTAGTGAAACCACCATGAGTAAATAATTATAAACTCGACACTCCCTGGGATTACTTTATGGGCCGCAATAAAGATAATTTAATTGAAAAATTTTACTCACCCCCTATTACTAGGTAGGTATAATTGTATACAGTGTGTTCGGGAACTCCCGCGTCAGTTACTCTCACTTCAAACGGTAAACATCGAACACACCTGCAACTTTCAACAGTAATTTTTAAATTAATACGCTTCAATAGTAAAAGTAATTAAGTAGAAAGTCCCTTTCGTCACTGATAATTATTCAACTTGTAGGTACGTTAAACTACAGTACCTACATATGGAAAAACGACTTACCGCTCGAATAACACACTTCTATCTGCAACGAATTATTAACTGTAAACAATTATTACAATAGGAATTTCCGATTATCCTGAGAAAATCTTCTCTGACGTAATCGTGTCAAATATTTGCATTGCATTTAATTGTCCCACATTGTAATTAAAAATGTAATCTCGTTAGACGGCTAGAAAGATGCTTACTATAAGTACCTTAGCGCAAACTTATTTCACGGTCCGAATTTTATACAAAAGAGAGTCAATAATTTTTTACGAATTGCTCAACGATATAAATTATATAAATTATAGCAATTGTGCTGGTAACAAAACCGTAAAAATAAGTGCCTACACACCTTTGTGTGAAAATTTACGTGGCGAGGTTAGAATACAGTAAATCCTCGTATTTAAAAATCACATACGAAATCCACTCCGAAGGTTCTTTCCCCTACGCTTTTTTTTGCAATTTACCCGAAATAATTGAAGATATTTTTTGGGCGCTGCGTCGAAAGGTGGAATGCATGTGGAGAGAATGGTTCTTATACACCAGATCAAATGCTATAAGTACTTTGAAAAACAGCTACAGTAATCCAAGCAGCACGGGGTCCAAATGACCTTTATATCGGTAACCATTTTCATGGTCGTTTTTTAAAAAAAAATGGGCGATGATTAATGTTTATTTAAGAACAAAAAAATTATAAAATTGTTCTCAATTTACATTACACGATATTTTTTGAGTATCGTTCATAATCTTCAAACCACTTAACTATGGTCTTCAGCCTGTCTTCGCGCAGCCATGCCATATTGTTGTTAACATGATTCAAACACGAACGAATTGCGGATGAATGCGGAAATGATAACCTCAACTAAAAAAAGGCATTAAACATTATTCAGACGGTTACTTATTCTGTTCGAGGTGCCTTTAGGAGCATGATATTCAACAACGTGATGTTTTTGAACAATATACGGTGTCCATTTTTCGAGTGCCACTATGGGGATCTCACTTATCTTAAGAGATAGAAAGTTGGTTAAATAGGGGCAAAGTTGCCAATTTTCGTGCCGAATAAGAATCTGAAAAGAAATTTGAAATATCTTCAATAGTTTTGAAGATATCGCAAAAAAACGAAAATTTCTAATTTTCGTTTTTAATTTTTTTATGATAAACTAATCATAGTAGACATTTCTAATTAACACATTATTCGGACAATTTTTAATGGAGAGTTCAAATATGGCATCCTGTTTTTAATAACTTTCAAGATGACGGAGAAACACGTGGCAACTTTAGTTTTTCTTATGAGCGCCATTTTGAATTTTCACATTTTGAGATTACGTCTTTTTTTCTCTTTACAACGATATACACACATGGTGGTTCAGTATCACATTTTTCCTAAAAATACAATTTTTAATTATTTGAGAAGAGTGCTTTGGAAAAAGAAAACGTTCTTTTGTTGTGAACAAAAGGTTGACTTATTTCATGTATAACTCTCGCCAGGAAAGATTTCCGGTCACAACACACCTTGCGTCGATTGACAATCTTTGTTTTTATTAAGATGCGAGCGACTTCTGGAATAGGATCGTGCTAATGTTGAAACAAAAAGTCTTTTCGTTCAACGTTGACACGATACGATCCCGGAAGTCGCTAATACCTTACGAAAAACAGAGATTGTAGATCGGGATCAAGTGTTCTGTGACCGGCAATCTTTCCTGGCGAGAGTTATAGTGCCATTTAGGTTTATGCTAGTTGTATGCGAAAATGCCTTTTTCAAGTGCAGATCAAACAGATATGATCCAAATTTACTACACTTCTCATCGAAATGCCCACATGGCTGCTGCAACATACTTCCAGCGTTATGCAGAGTGGCAACAATCTAGTTTGAGGTATTTTTCTTTGCTGCATAAAAACTTGGGCGAATATAGTTCTTTTAAAAGATGTAGACAGTAATATGGTGATAGATCCAATGAATAGGAGCAGGCAATTTTGCAAGCAGAAAAAATTTTGAAATTTTGACAATGAACATTACTGGTCAATTGAAAATTCTCATCAATTTCAAGAACGACGACAACAAATACGTTTTACCGTTAACGTATGGGTCGGTTTATTGGGCGATACATGGTCCTTAAGAGACTCTAAATGCTGATCGGTACCTCTATTTCCTGAGGACATTTCTAACCGATTTTATTGACAATAACGTTCCTCTTCATAGTTTGAACTCCATATGGTTCCAGCAAGATGACGCACCGCCCCATAGTGCTAGGGGGGTTGGGGAATGCTTATCGGAATTGTTCCTCAATCATGTTATTGCTAATAATGGCGACGTATTCTGGCCGGCGCGGTCACCTGACCTGTCTCCCTTGGACTATTTTTTGTGGGAACAATGAAAATGAAATTTACAAAACATTGCCAGCCGACCTTGATGAACTTCGTTATAGAATTGTGAGCACTCTCAGGCACAAGATTAGAAGAAGGGATATGTCAAGAGCCATAGCAAATCTTAGGAAGAGAGTGGCACTGTGCTCAGAATTAGGAGGTGGGCAATTTGATTAATTTGAACACATGTTGTTATGTATTTTGTTCTAATTTAAATTATAATTCTTGCAAACCGAAAGTTCAATTCTGTTCAGATGAAAATCGAATTTCTACTTCTCTGACAACGCTGCAACCAGACAGATGGATCAAACTGTCAAACATTTGTTCACAACAAATGAACGTTTTCTTTTTCCAAAGCACTCTTCTCAAAAAATTAAAAATTGTATTTTTAGGAAAAATGTGGTACTGAACCACCATGTGTGATATATCGTTGTAAAGAGAAAAAAAGACGTAATCTCAAAATGTGAAAATTCAAAATGGCGCACATAAGAAAAACTAAAGTTGCCACGTGTTTCTCCTTCATCTTGTAAGTTATTAAAAACAGGATGCCATATTTGAAATCTCCATTAAAAAGTGTCCGAATAATGTGTTAATTAGAAATGTCTACTATGATTAGTTTATCATAAAAAAATTGAAAACGAAAATTAGACATTTTCGTTTTTTTGTGATATCTTCAAAACTATTGAAGATATTTCAAATTTCTTTTCAGATTCTTATTCGGCACGAAAATTGGCAACTTTGCCCCCATTTAACCAACTTTCTATTTCTTAAGATAAGTGAGATCCCCATAGTGGCACTCGAAAAATGGACACCGTGTATATTAACACGCAACAAGCGGACGGACGGACTGACTTCTTCAAGGCGACTCAGTTGAAATAGCTGAGAAAGGCTCACCATATTTAATAACTCTAATTGTTGTTGCGATGTGATGTATTTACACAAAACGTCCGCTACTCGCAACTCTTGATAGCTGAAACAATTTCGTTACCTATACACTTCCGAAACTGCGATTGTATGAGAGACTTACATCTCATTTGTAGAAGAGACGTGCCTTATAAAATATTTGAAAATCATCTCAACTCTGGTCTGATCGATTTGCAGAATCCTCATGAGCGCAATTTTTTTATCCGCAACACTAACACCGCTACTCTTCATAAAGATTAAATCTAAAATCCTTACCAAAAACTAATTATCGGCGTGACTTTTAACGGAGCTAGGTACTTCTCTAGAAACATTTTGTGGCTCGTACAGCCCAAGCCAGTCAGTAATTTCCACTTCCTTTCCCCATCTGGGATGGATTCGTATTTCGCATACAACATTTTCCAGTCGTCAACAGGCGCCATTTGCATGGCACCACACATAATTGGCACCTCTAAGTTTATAGCGATCTTTGTACCATTCGACAGCCAAGATCTCACGGCTTTCAAAGCTTGGTCTCTACAGTTGAATAAATTTAAATTGCAGGCCCATGTAATGATACTTATTCGACTATGTTTGTTTAGGTATTCATCCAACTCCGTCTCTTCAAAACCTAAACTCCGATAAAGATCCTCAAGTAAGTTTTTTATGTAATTCTGAAAACCATTATTAGGTAAAAGTTTCACCATTTCAAACTCACCTTAAACATCTCTTCTTTTCCCAGTGACTCTAGATAAAGTTTTACCTTCTCTATGTTATTGAAGAATGCCAAAAAGGGCAAAGATTCCACTTCTCTACGTAAATAAAGGCTTAAGCCTAAGGGTATGTCGTACGGTATATAATTGAAGTGTGCCAATTCAAAAGCGTCATCTAGCAATTGCGCCCTGTTTGAAACGTGAACATCCAGTCTATTGTTGGTCAATCGGCGCGTGAGTGATCTCCAAATTCTGATATCGTAATTTACCCTGTAATAGCCTTAGGGGGAATCAGGTGGTTTTGCAAGGTTTATGACTAGGTAGGTACCTGTTTGTTGATTGTTAACCAATATACAGTTTATAGAAGCATTTGGATAAAAAATGACAGACTTCTCCTTGAGCCACATCTGAGGTGTTGTTAACGTACTCGTGCCCTCAACGAAATTAATGGGAATATACCAGAGATGATCAACGTTTGAGTTACCGAAAGATTCCTAGAGATTCGGCAAATGCTTACTCGAGAATCTACTCATACCATATTTAAACACAAGGCAATGATGCTTGTATTCTCACCTGAGATAGTATGATCGATCCATCGTAATAATTTCGAGAAACGTTGACCACTGGATATCCAGGGAATGAATCCCAAGTGCTCATTATTTCACTAACACTTACATTTGCTAATAGATGGGTGTTGTTACGGTAATTGATGGCAGTTTGGAAAGTGTCGTAGAGATCTTTAGGGCTCACTGAACCATATGCACTATGGAACACTCATTGAATTTTACTAAGCGATGGGAAGCCAAACTTACAATTTTTTTAAATACATTCTGATCCCTAACTGAAATGTGTCTTGGGTTAGTATGTGTTCTAACATTCTCACTATTGCGGCGCCTGAAACCAACCAATCGAAAAATTAGTTGTATAAAGACGCCATTGAACCGCATGGCAATGATTGGAGAACTTTTTTAGCCATGATGAACGATCGATTGAACTCATTACCTTTAAAGTAACTAGTATACGCAACTGGTAGTGATCCTGCATATTGAGGGTGAAAATTAAGATAATAAGAGCCTTTTGTATCCATTTTGAGTAGTGGCTGCATCAAGAAAACCAGAAATTGATCCATCATCTTCCACGATGGACGCATCTAAAAGAACAAGTTTACTCTCATTTGTTATA